GAAATATATATATATAGGCAAGTGATCCATGGATCCATGCCAAGGAAGTTCATCAAGGAGGAGCACCACTGGTGCTGGACGTGATAACAAGCACAAGGAGGTTATGCGCGAGCAATCGGCTGTAGGCGCAATGGCAGAAGCTCCTTCTTACTGCCTGTTCCCGGAGGAGACAGGGCGCAACAGTGGCAGCCTCCAGCTCCATGAGCTCTTCTCTGCGGATCGCCAGCAGCCAAAGCCGCTGGAGGTATACCTCTTCATTTTTAATTAATTCCTTTCCTTTGTGTATATATCCCTACTGCTGTAATGCTACTAGCTATTATATTTATTGTCATCTTTGATTTAATTCTTTGCCAGACTATTAGATATATACTCCATATCTGCTTTGATTTCATTTATTTCCTGCTAGCGCTAGTTGTTACTTATTAATTACTTTCCCGGCTGATTTGTATATATTTTCATCTACGTTTCCTACTGCTTGATTATCTGCTAATGTATTAATGGCATGATACAGGTTTTTCTGCTAGACAGCTTTGCTAATGATGATATGCCTTATTGAGTACCGTTTTCTCTTTTGATCAAATTGAAATTGGTTCTTTTCTTTTTCTCCGTACCTGACAGCTGGTTAGTTGGCACACCTCTGTCCGATTACTCTAGCCGATTTGCCTGCTATCTCTTGGTCATTCAATTTATGTCATATATGTTGCTCCAAGAAAATTATAATGAAGAGGAGCCAATAAGTTAAGGGTTTGATGTCTGCTCCACCCTCCCCCACCCCACCCCCAAAGACCACTGCGGACGGGAACTAAGGTTGGGGGCACCATGATGGCGAGGTTAGGTGGGGCAGGGTCAAGGAGGTAGAGAGTGGATGACAGGGCAACATGGCGATGTGGTGGTAACCACTAGCCTGAAAGGGAGGCACAACTATAATCTCTATTTCCATAGGGCAAAAGTGATTTGCTGAGATAGTTGAACAGACCACCTTTACAAGATGCAAGGTCTTCCTCGACATTTTTTGTCGCCCGCGGTGTTCGTCGTTGCCCTCCGCCACCCAGTTCTCCTATGCGGCTATGCCCGATGCCATCGTCGAGTCACCCAAGCCGACGACCTTTTCACAGAGCCTTTGGGATCCCGATCCAACGATCTCATTGCCGGATCTGGCTTGCTATGGACGGATTCACACCCCCTGGGCCACGCGACAGTGGCACGACATCTTACGGTGTCCCATAGTCGACCTGGTGCGCCATTCACTGGATCGAGCGGCCGTGAGGTTGGATCTGGTGAGACCGGCCTGAGTGTTGGTGAAGATCTCAGCAAGGAGGAGGCGGACCAGGTAGAGGCGGATCCTGTCGGCAGCGGTAGCCCTAGGGGCAATGGAGGCCTAGGAGTTTGGGCGGAAGAGGATATCCTCGGAGGTAGTGACAGAGGACTCCGACAGAGGTGATGGCCATGATCCCAATGACGGCGGCTGCCCTATGGGCGGCGGAGGCCTTGGAATCTAGCAAAGCGGAAGCGGATCCTATTGGCTCACGTCTGATTAGGTAGTTCTAACTAGATGACGATGGATGAAGGTGGGCTAACCGGCAACAAGTGGCGTCACCTCACATGAAGCAGATGAAGATGGCACCAGCGGAGGTCCACAGCGATGGCGCACTAGGGGCGGCGATGACTTGAAGATTTCCACTTGCCGAATCTGACCATTTCAGGAGAGGATGCCGGAAAGGAGGGATGTGCCGAGGTTGTAGTATTTTTTTCCTTTTTTTGGTTTTGTGTTCTCCTCTTTGTTGATGTGTGAGTCTATGTGCTCTTGTATCATTTTGGCTATGTATATCCTTCGTGGATATAGAGGTCAGATCAATGAATCCATTATCTAAAAAATGTAAACCAGGACTTTGTAGAGTCAGTCGCAGTCCTCCTTATCTAAAAAGCTATTTCCATAGATGGGTAATTAAGTCACCCGCATGTGGAACTCATTTACAAACAAAGCAGCGATGGCGACATCACTACACATCCACAGGCACCATTCCAACAACGTTCTTATGATGATTGTTTCTTCCACTACCTAAACAAGATGCAAGACGCCTTTGCGTGCTTCTTTTCTGTGCTTCGTGATGAGGCCGTGATTAGCAACATGTTGGAGAACTCGAGCATTCTCCTCGTTCTACAGGAATAAATGAATATGGCATGATTAAGAAAACACACAAAACAAGGTCGATCGATCTTACACAAAAGATGGAGTCGTGTGTGCCGACATGGATGAGGAGGGAGCTAACAAAGGCATCACCAATGCTAGTGGTGGTGTCCGGCTTCTACCTGGACATGCTGCTCCTGAGGTCCTGCAACGAATGTGAATACCACAAAAGAGATAATGTTAGCTGGCAATTCCTTTTGTTGTTCACTATCGTGCAACGTCTACAGGAGCCTCCATCTTCATCAGCTACCATCCCTCATTCTCTAGATGCCTTCGTTAATACATTAATGGAGGCGGTCGTCTTAGTACAACTGCCTCTATTAATAGATTAACATAGGTGGGCGCTGTTAATATATTAACAGAGACGGCCGAACTATGATGACCATCTTTGTTAATCTCACTAACAAAGGCGGACGCCTTAAGCTGACCGCCTCTAAAAAGCATGATTAACAGTGACGCTTTTGCCGGAGGCAGTTTCCTTATCTGCCTCCGTAAAGCCAAAATGGACGCCACCAAAAACTGTTGCAATAGTAGTGTAGTGAGCTGGTACTACAATGAGGAAGTCAAACAAATGATGGCAGCATTCGGTGGTGGAAGCATCAGATAAGGACCGCGGAGGTGGTGACGGAGGTGACCCTCGGGGACAATCAATGAAACACGACCATTTGCTTGTTCCAACTAATGCGCCGAATTTCTTATACACTACTCACGCTCATACCACTAATTGGTCATGACTATTCCCACCTCTCATATGTTGTTGTTGTATGCAAGATCTACCCTACCTACATGGAAACATCAAGTCATGCACAAGTTGCAGCATAGAGTAGAGAGCATTCATTATATCATCCATGCTACCATAACCAGAGTCAAAAGATACAAAGCATAGTACTATAGGCCATCCGAACTATTCTACGTGGCACAAGCCCTAAACCCTGATATTCAACACATTACCATAATATAGATGTTCATTGAATACATGATGAACTATTCCCTCTGTCTACAAAAGAATGTAATTCTCACTTTTCCAGGAATAGAACTATTTGAAGTTTGACCATAGTTAAATAAAAATATACTAACATTTACGATACAAAATAAATACAAAATAAATACCATTAAATTACTTATGTAATATTTTTCATAGTAAACCTTGTTGGAGACGTAAATGTATTCTTTTGTGGACGGAGGGAGTATTTGATAACACCTTGGGTTTAACTCATGCTATCTCAAAACACTGAAAAATTTCACCCATCAAGAATACCCTATAAAAATACCTTAGGTTATGTTTGGAACCGTTACTCAGCTTGCCCTGCAAATCAAGATTACCATATCCTTGCATAGCAAAGCAGAGCATGCTTTAGTGTACTTATTTGGTTTCCTCGTTGATGCTTTTTTTCCTCCCCCGACGCCTTGCCAAGTGACTCATATGGTAGTACCTCCATGTTGGTAGAGGTTTTTTCAATTCTAGTGGTAAGGACGACAACTTAGTTGTTGATCACTAGATCACGTTTGGAGGAGCTCAATCGAATCCTCCACTCAATGTCTACTTTAATGAACCACATCACATTCTTTATCGTTCTCACTTCCGTTGGTAATTGTAGTTCCAAGCTTGTAGAACATAGAGGCCACTAGCACCACATGATGTAGACTATCTTGACGTGCCAAAGAGTTCATTTTTGGCATCGCTAGTATTTTGTCAATCCCACGCAGAGAAGCTTAACCATAGTATCTTAGACCATCATTCAACGCACAAGTACTACAATCCTATTGACGAAGCTCACCATGGTAACTTGATCCAACTAGGGGACCAGTGGAACTAGTGGAGGTTGAATTTTAGTGTTGTCGAAGTCATTGTGGCCATCCACCTTTGACTCATAGACTTGGTAATTGCACCAAATATTACCTTCATAGGAGCGCTTACTTGGCTGGCCCTAGTGGGCAAAGAAATCCTTGATGAGCTAAGCAGATCGCCTAGCAAAACAAGCTTTTTGCTTGCTACAAAACACGCGGCAAATTTGGAAAATCGTAGCAAGTAAAGGATTACAAGGTGGCACTTGACCAAATCAAATGTTGACTAGGATGTACGATAGAAGGTCATGCCTATGCTAGTGCAAGCTATTTGGTGGGCTTTTTCATAATTAAAACATACATCACACATTTAAGATGTCATAGGATTTGGTTGACACCGAGAAGACATACATTGGTCCTACAATCACTTTAGACTTGTACATTTATGTGCTCATTTGGAGGTGGTTGACTATTCTCCTTCCTACTAGGGTAAAGGATTCTTCCCAAAATAGAAATTTTGGGAAAATTGAGTGAGAGTAGATGTCGCAACCTTGGTTGAATTGCCACATCACGAGAGGTCAACATTGTAGGGCGCTGATGAGGATGTTTATCGAAAAGAAGAGATGGAACATTGATTGATATATGACCTTTGGCTCATTATCCCAAATTTTCTAATGTCCCCTGAACCATCAGCGTAATGATTCTACAATATCTGGCCCAGTTAGTTTCAGAGGCAAAATTTGTTTTGGGTTTACACTGTGCTTAAGTATATGGCAGGCCCAACTAGAAGAAACTTTAGCCCAAGCTGAGCATTATGAATAAGCTCGGCCCACTACAATGCACCATCATAACTAGGCTTTTTCTATATAAAGTTGCCTGGTTCCCATTCCTGAATCACATCTCCCCAATTCCGCTGCCACAACACACATACTCCCCAAATATTCCTTGGCACCATGCTTGCGCCTCCCCCACTAGATCTATAGTGTGGACTATCGTTATGGGGTCTCCTTTTACTTTGCTTAACACCATGGCGCCTTTAAGGTCACCAGAAGGTAAATCACTATATGTTACACCACCTTCTGCAAGTTGGGGCCTTGGAAGATGAGGATTTTTAATTTCATTTTATATGAGTGTTGACCTATGATATTTTTTTCTTGTTGGTTCCTAAGACCCTGTTGGTCATCAAAGATCTAAGATCGAGGCCTGGTGTAGCTCAAAGGATACCTTTGTGGTCTTATATCTAAGTTTGATGTACCCCTATAGTTTTCCTACCCGTGGAGATTCTAGATCTAACCAAGTAGTGGACGAGGCAATCCAATCACATAAGGCAAGAGTGGTTTATGATTTGGGTTCAGTATACCACCTATGGTTTTCCTACGATGGGGATCTTAGATCTGGCCAAAGAGAGGATGCGGTAACTGTCCTACGGCCCACATCGATCTATTTTTTTTGCGGGTACTGGCCACATCGATCTAATATCTATAGATCCTATGGACCATAGAAGTAGGGGTGGGGGTTGAGCGGCGGGGAGAGCGGGGTTATCTATTTGCACAATCCAATGTGGATTCATCACAATTCATTCTTCTAAGGTTGCCTAATAGGTGACCTTCGTGGTCTATATGGAGCGTTTACACGCAGGTATTTACTCTAATAACGCTTTGTGCTTACGAATAGTGATATTGTCCCTTGAAAAAAAATACTTTGTTGGACAATAGGTCACCTTACCTATTATTTTGCTTTTGAAGAAATAATTCTATTATGGTAATAAGATGCAGGGATTTACTCTTTTTTAGCATGGGAACTGTTCATGTACTATAGGAGATTCTTATTTTTCTTTGATTTATACTGGATATGAATCATTGTGCGGTGTGCATGGTTGCATTCATGGTAATACATAGCAAGTATGCACGCTGGAACTTCTTCTGGGCATCAAGATTAAGTTTCTCACTATATCTGGTACTGAACATCTGAACCAATGTTGTTAATTTCCTCGTCAGGTTGATTCAAAGGCAATTGCAACACTGCAACCGTGTCTCCATATTCAGGCCAGGAGACAATTACCAACATTTTTTCCTAGAGGCATCCATTCCTCTTCTTCACAAGGAATGTGTGTGCAGGATAACAATGTGAAGCGAACTACCGAAAACCCTGTGCCTATTGCTGCCCCCGCTTCTGTCTTTGGTGACAAGAATTTAGGTGCCCCAGGAAATGTTGAGGAGGACTATGAAGAAGCTACACTGTTGAGTGAGGATGCCATGAAGATATATGAACAATTGATTGGGGTCCATGTGGCATATTTTCATGCTTGCAATGTCCCTTACATGACCACTTCTAGGAGCCTCCCCCAGCAGGTTGTCCAGGAGCAGAACACCCACCGTGCTCATGATGCTCAGGTGTCAAGTTATGGGGACAATCTAGTGGAGGCAGATACCAGTACTACGGTTGTTCAACAACAAAGAGTTCCTTCTGCTGGCTCCTCTCATGTCCAGCATTATGGAGCTAGTGGATTGAACAATACGATCCCTTCTATTCACCAGGAGCAAATGGTGGCTCCGGTGACGAACCCTTCCTTGAGGCTCATGCACATCAAGGGCCAAGTAGCAGATTCCTGGTGTGCATAAATATTTAATTACTTTTAGCCTTCCAATATTGCACTATATATGATTTACCTTCAATTCCTAGATTTAATCAACTTTTGCATGCAGTGCTGATGCCAATGGGAGCCGCTTTGTACAGCAGGCGATCGAGGTGGCAACGCCTCAAGAGATCGTTATGGTTTATGAGGAAATCATGCCTTGTGTCCGTATGCTTGCCATTGATGTGTTTGGAAATCATGCCGTCCAGAAGGTTTAAGTTTCTCCAACTCGATCCAATATATTATATATGTATGCTGTGGCATTGTTTCTTTTTTACTAGAATTTCTGAATCACATGCACAAGGACATAAGTTGAGCATGCCTGTAGAAATTAAATTACTAATTCATTATCTTTGTTTCGCCTTCAGATTCTAGAGCATGGACCACAGTCCTGCAAACGTGAGCTCATCAGTCGTCTGATGGGCCATGTGCTTTCCCTAAGCCGTGATATGTACGGTTGCCGAGTCATCCAGAAGGTGAGCTAGCCAATATTGTCTAATTCAGAAAGTATTTTCACTATATAGCCATGTACATGTACATATACAGTATTTCTGTGACTTGGAAGGATGCACTCATGTTTTTTTTTATGACCTCTGTTTTTTAGTGTTCATATTAATATGTATTGCTTAGTCATGTGCATTGATACTAATAACGACATATTTTTGAAGCAGGGAAGTGTATCACTGATCCTACTACCCAATTGTTTTCTTTGTTTCAGGCTTTGGATGTAGGGGGGCACGATCAGAAGATTGTGATAGCCAAAGAGCTCAAAATCAAATTGCTGAAATGTGTTCGCGACCAGTTCGCGAGCCATGTGATTCAGAAATGTGTAGAGTGCCTGCCACCGAAGCATATCCAATTCATTTTCCGAAGCTTCTGTGGAAGGGCCAAGGCACTATCCATCCATCCCTACGGAAGCCGTGTGATTCAGGTATGATTGCTCATCGATTATTTGTATTTTCAGTGTTTTGTATGCAATCATGCATCTAATTCAACTCAACTTACCATCATCTGATCTGATTCGGTTCTTTTTCCCAACTGCTTGCTGTTTCCAGAAAGTGCTGGCCCATTGTGACAACCCCGAGGTTTACCACACGCTGACAGCGGAGATTATCGAGTTTGCTAACAAGCTGTCAGCAGACCCATTCGGAAACTACGTGGTGCAGCACTTGCTCGAGCATGGAGGCCAGGCCACTCAGTCCATGATAGTGAGGAAATTTGACAGGCGCGTGATGAGCATGTGTTATCACAAGTTTGCGTCCAATGTGTTGGAGAAGTGCCTGGTGGTGGGGAGCCAGGAGGACCGGCAGCTCATCATAAATGAGATCCTCGGCGACACCGGCAGCCAGCACTTCGAACATCTCGTGGTTGGTTACCTGTGGCAGATTTTCCTACTAGTTACTATATAGGAAATACAGAGAACATGATTGACAAAATATATGTGTATGTGTGCAGGACATGATGATCAATCCATACGCGAACTTTGTCATCCAGAAGATGGTGGTGACGGCGGAGGAGCAGCAGGTGGGCCTGCTGCTGGACGTGGCCAGGAACAATGCAGACAACCTGAAGAGGTACCCACATGGCAGGCACGTCATCGCTGCTATGCAGAGGCTACTCAATGCCAAGGGTATGGTGGTATATACATGCCTTGCTGATGTCCCCTTTTGTTGAATGCTGGTGATGAGGTTCCTGCCTGTCTTGGCTTCTTCTGATGATGATTTTGTTGTTGCACTTGCAGAGGGGAGGCCTGTACTTCTGGTGAACAATGAATGAGGAGGAGAAGACTGCAGAGAGGATGGACGGAACCTACCTCTCCTGTCAGCCTTCTGCGCCCATGGCCTCTTAATATTACTGTATACTCCTTGTGTTTCAAATTATAGTTTGTTTTAGCTTTGTCTAAGTCAAACTTCTCTAATAGTCTAACTACGCCCAGCAGAATAGCAGATGATGAATGAATAAATCATCTGATTTCCGAGCACTATGCTGTTGCCTTCTGTTCTGCTAACAAAGGCAATCCTTCTGTATCAAGGCCAATCAGAAAATTAGGGACCCCCCCATTAGGAGGTGCGAGAATTTTTCTTAATGTTTGTTTCTCCTTTTCCCTTGGGCTTTGAGAGCCTTGTAAACTGTAAATACTGTATTCTTTTCCATATATATAAAATACCAAAAAATAGGTAGGGGACTCCCCTTCTGACCTTTTAAGAAAAACAAAATCCGGTGGGCAGGCTACGTGTGCCTAGTCGTCACCCTTGGCCTCTTGTTCTTTCTCGACTCATCGTTTATTTTATTTTGGCTGCTGGCGTAGTCGCGTTCGGCATCAGGCTTAGGCAAAACTACAGCAGGTTTCAGTTGCACATTATTGCAGACTTGCAGGTACATGGTATTGATGATTAATCCTAATTTGGCGTATCAGGTATCTAGTTTGGTCATTTTGCACTTGCTAGTAATTACCTAAATCATCTATTGTAGTACTTCTTCAAATTTGGCCGGCCGATTATCCTTGCCTGTTGCCTCATGGACTGTAATTAGTATGTGTCATCATTGGTTTCTACTAAGGTGTTTTTTAAAAAAACATGGCAAGAGCTTTGCCATGCTAGGTGATCAGAAAGGAGAGTTAAAAAAAAGCAAAGGATAGGAGAACAAAACCGTGTGCAAAATTTTATATCTGTAGTTAGAAATTAGGTGCGTTCTTGAATTTTCAATGATTCCCCTTATGGTACTTGTTCTGTTCTCCCGAAGCACCTATTCTTATCACTTTACTTACAATATAATGGTATGCAACAATAAAGATTACAACTCCTGTTAGTGATAATAAGGTGTTTGCACAATATGTTGGTACGGTGTCGCTAGTGTCAAATCTATAACTGACGGCCAAACTTGACTGCATGTAAGTACGTCCTTCAACGAATTTAATAGGTACTAAGATAAGGAACGGGAAAGATCATTCCAACTTACACACAGAGGGTTGCCATCATGATGATGCAAGTCATCTCATCATTACCCCATGGCAATGGATCCACCAATGGCAACAAACAAACAATCCTCGTAGTTGTTGCTAACCCACGCCCAGCCCCTACAAAAAAGCGACTAACCACGGAGTAAAACATTGATCCCTGTAATCACTAGTGAGTTAAGCTGTGATTGAACCTGCAGTGATCGATGAGTCGACGATCCACCATGGTCACATACAACAACAATGACCAGGGCCAGCAAGAGGATTCTGATGGCCCGGTGGAGCCGAAGCTGGTCGCCATGCTCTCCGCCTTCTTTGTGGCCATCATTTTCTTGCTGTGCCTTTGTTCCCACCTACAGTCGGGTACTGAGGAGCAGGAGCATGACGCCGACGCCGACCGTCGGCGGAGGCAAAGGTATCTACCGAGCAACAACACCCGAAGTGGGTATATATTTGCTCAACTCCGGTCTCTTCTGGCATGGAGGAACAAAACCGGAGGCGGGGATGGCGTACCATCGACGGTGGCTACCGCCGTCGAGGTGGCATCAGCGCCAGTGCAGGCAGTCAGCCCACTGCTAGTGTGCATGTATAGGAGGGCTGACGGGTGGCGAGAGGGCTCCTGTGGGGTGTGCCTGGCGGACCTAGCCGACGGCGAGGCTATTAGGGTGCTGCCGACATGCATGCACTACTTCCGTGCCACCTGGGTCGGCGAGTGGCTGCGCGCACACCACACCTGCCGGTGGTGCCATGTGTTGACCTTCTACTCACTCTGCTTTAACTTGGCCTCTACGTGTACATGTGTGTAGTGCATCTTGTAACCTGTTCAGGCAAGACTTCCCTTGCTTGTATGAGAGAGCCAAAATTACTCACTTGGTTTAGCAAGCGTTTTGTTGTTCATATCTGCAAGCTAGGCAAGGCAAAAAGGCTAGGCGAAGTCACGGTGGGAACCAAATGTGCCCTTAACAGCATGTGCACCTTGCACACCAGGATTCTTTTTGACAATAGTTGCACACCAGGAATGAATGTGTATATGTGTGCATATAGTTGCATAGTTAGAGAGTTATAATATATTATTTGTCTTCTGTCTATACATATTTTTATGCACATTCAACAGTGATGTATATGGAGCACCTGTTATTGAGGGCAAAAAAATTGCCACTGCTTGAATACTAGTTTTCAAACTATTGGGAAACATAATACCTTGTGATTAACTTAGCATATCTACTAAGGTAAGACTAGGGTTGCAAGTTTATAAGTACTCCAATATTCGATGTTACTTAACCTTCTCTATTTTATTTTGTACTAATAAATATACCCATGCGTTACCATGAAATGCATAGCTTGTTGCTTGGTTACATGGACTAGTTACGGCTTAGCAATTCATTCAGCAGTTACCTCATCTGTTTGAATACGTTATAGTCTTGAAATCGGACTCCATACCCCTAGTTACATTCGATTATTTCCATCCACGAACATACCGTCGACTCAAGTAGAACCTAGTCTCACCACCTTTCACGCTCCTGCTCAGGTGGTGGACCGGTGGCGGCGTGGGGCGGAGGCGCTGCTGTGCCGGACGTGGGGGAGGAGGTAGCGGCGGTGTGCTAGGGCTGGGGCAGTGGTGTGCACCAGGGTTGGGCGCGCGAGAGCGAGAGAGAGAGGGAAGGGGTCACGGCGCAGGAGAGAGGAGAGAAGGGACCGGGGAATAGATTATTTCTTTACTTCATCCAAATGGTTACAATGCCCCTATATTTATAGTCCCTGTGAGATTTGCATCTCAAACAACCTAATTTCATAGAAAGAGTCCTTATAGATCTGAATTGATTTCATTACAAGTAACTATTTATTTCTCTAAGAAAATCGTAATCTATATTCTTAAACAAATCTCTAATTAGTTTTCCTACTTTTTCTGACTTTTCTTCATTTATTCTGAATTGCTTCGGATGTTTGGAATTTGGTGGAGCGGTGGTGGCCCGTCCCCTAGCCATGAGCCCCGGCTGCCGCGCGCATAGGGGGTCTAGGGTTGGCCAAGGTTGGGTCATGGGCCCTTCTTGGCCCGTTTGACTCGATGCTGGGCCCCATATTTAGGCTGTTAGTTGATCTCCACCAATAGGCCCAACGGCCTATTGGGCCCTTGCCTCTGCTCCCTGATCGGGGGAGCCCAACCCTAACTGGTTGGTGGGCCCCTGTCGCACAGCACATATATATAGAGGAGTGGGAAACTGGGCTCGGGTCATGAGGTTGACCGGAGCCGCCACCCACCTATAAAGAAAACCCTAATCTGATCTAAAGGCCGTGCTGCCAGCGATGGGATGTGCCCCACCACCGCCGTCGCACCACTGCAGAGCCACCACCGGACCACTGCAGTACCACTACGGACTACACCGAGCCAAGGGAGCTACCGCGGCACCGGCGTCTACCCGCTGTGGTACATGTACGGAGAAGACAAGGATGAGGTCTTCCCCGGATCTACGGGTTACACACAGAGAGGTACACACCTATGATTCTAACAATGGTACCAGAGCTAGGTTGCCTCTGTGTAACCCTAACCCTAACCGGGTAAAAGAAAAGGAAAAGGGACCGGGGGTGGCGAAGGTTACTGGAACCCCGGTCACCACCGCCACCGCGCGGGAAAAGTGCCGCACTGACACGGCAAGAAAGAACAGATCCGTGTTCAGATCAGAGAAGGGGGAAAGAAGCTGCACCGTTCGACGGCGCATGTTCTCGGGTTATCCCAACCCTAACCCAAATCGGATGAAATCCGAGCACAAGAATCAAAGAAATGAAGAGGGGAAGGGGATAATCTCGCAGATCTTGAATCAAACCAAAAGAAAACAAGAATTGGGTTCAATCGAACCCTAACCCTAGATCCCCTTTTTCGGGTGAACAAGCGAAAAGAAAAGAAAGAAGATACGACCCACCCCAATCGGTCAAACAAAGAAAAGCAAACAAGATCTAGATCCGATTGGGGAAGAAGAGAAAAGAACAGGGGTCGACACACGAACCCTAACCCTAAATCCATTCAGAACTCCGAAAAGAAAAGCAAGATCACAAAAGCAAATCAGAGAAAGGGGAAAAGGGGAGGGTCGGATACCGAACTCTAATCCTAGATCTAAACCCTAATCCCCAACACTCAATGGTTCGGATAAAAGGAAAACAGATCCAAATCAAAGAGGGGAAAAGGGGAAGAGAACGAACTCGCCGTGCACCGCGCTGCCGACATCGCCGTCGTGCGGGAAAAGAAGCCGAGCCGGGGGAGCTGCCTCGCTGGGCTCGGCCAAGGAAGCGCCGCGGCCAAGCCGCTCGACAGCGGCGTGCTCACCCGTTGGGGAGCACGCGCGCCGGCGAGGGGGCCGGCGACGGCGCCATGGCCGCTCCACCGTCGTCGCTCTCGCTTGGCTCGCTCTCGGTCGCTGTTGCACTGTGCTGAGAAGAGATGAGGTAGAGAGAGGAGAGAGCGGCGAAGAAGAGAGAGAGAGCAAAGGAAGGAAATGGACTAGGGTTTTGGAGGGCGCGGCCACGGGCGGGGTTTTGTTCTCCCTATCCGCGCGTGCGACCGTCCGATCAGAACCAACGGCGCAGATCAAATCGGGCTGTCGCCGGCCCAGGCGGGCGCGAGCGCGCCGCGGCACTTTGCCGGCCCAGGCCCAGGTTACGGCCTGGGTGCGGCCTGCGCACGCGCGGAACGGTGGGCCGAGCCGGCTTTTGCTGGTTTTGGGCCGAGAGAAGAAGAATGAGCCCACATTTTCTGTTTTTTCTTTTCAGTAAATTGAAAATGCAAATTGACTCAAAAGAAAAATAGAAAAGTAATT